CCTGCATTCACACATCCCACCTGGGTTGGGACTGTGCCCTGTGCCGGGATGGGCACGTGGGAGTGGGCACAGCAGCAGCACCAGGTGACACCTGTGTGGGTGCTCAGGCTGGGGCTAGGGTGGTCCCCAGCTGGGGGAACAGCCCCTCACCCCTGGGGCTGCTGTTGCCAGGCAAATCACTCAGAGCTGCCTGTCCCTTCCTGAAGCACCTCCAGCAACAAACCACTGCAGGTCCTTTATTTAAATGTCGCTGTGTTTTATTTCTGTGAATCCCCTCCTTGTATTTTCCTGGAATTCCACTGACTTTTTCATAAGCAACTTGGCCCTGCCCTAGCCTGGTGCTCACTCTGTGTTGGCCTCTACAACTCCCTGGAGATGTGGAGCAGGAATTTGTAGGTTGGTGGTGGTGTTCTAGACACGGGATTTTACTGCAAGATTTAGCAACTGCTGCGCTGAGAGCCCACATGGGTGAAAACACCTCTCTAGGTGTAGATGTCAAGGCCATATCTTCAGCAATGGGGTAAGTAAGATTTACTGGGAAATAAGGAGCCTTTATCCTTCCTCCACCCCAGCTGGTGAGGGGGTGACAGAAACCCTGGGGTTCACCCTGGAAGTGTTCAGAAAACCTGTGGATGTGCCACTTGGGAACATGGTTAGTGGTGGGCTTGGCAGTGCTGGGGGAACAGTTGGACTCGATGAACTTAGGGGGCTTTTCCACCCTTAATGATTCCATGATTGCATGATTCTAAGAGAAAGGGATTCATTGTTTATACAGCTCAGAATAAGGACATTTTCCTGAGATGCACATCAAGGCATTGTGTTTCCAAACCATGTTTTATTCTCCAGAGTAGGTACATTTCAGAAGTACAGGGTTTGCAAGTTGTCAGCCTGATTACAATGCAATTAAACTCAAAACAGCTCAAAGGGAAGAACCCAGCAGGGGAAGCAGATGAACTCTGCAAGGAGGCAAAACCAAACCTCCCTGGCAGCATGGGCTGTGCCCTGCTGCCCCTACTCCACTCCCCCAGCAAAGAGGGCTCAGCAAGGCTCTGCTCCAGCCCCATGCCCAGTGCAGATGGGCAGTGGGGCAGCCTTAGCAGTGGGTGGCAGGTTTGATGAGGATGGCTGAGGCTCTGCAGTTCCCACTGCACAGGCTGCCCCATGTGATGGCTCCCTTGACATTGAGCCGCACGGAGTAACACGCCGAGTACCACCACCCACCCCCATAGCTGGCAGCACAGTTTGAACTCCAAGTGTCCTGATCCCGATCTTTGGTAGAGAACTTCATGTTGTCATGCATGGTGGTGGTCCCCTTCGAGGCCATGGCATCCTCTGCTGTCCCTGAGTGCGCTCCCAGCCTCAGATGGTAGCCCTGGGACTCAACACCCCATCACCCAGGCTGAACAGGTTGTAGTCTGCAAACCTTTTGTTATTTGCAGTGTCCCAGATAACAAACCTGACCTGGTAGACTTTCTGCTTGGTGATCTGGTGGATGTACTCAGTGCCCAGCCAGTACTCGGTGTGCACGTTTCCAAATCCATACTTATAGGTGCTCCAGGATGCATCCCAGATGATATCTGTGCTTTGGTGATTCCTCTGGATCACGGTCCAGCCCCCATCTGCCTCAGTCATGTCACAGTACACCATGATGAGGTGCAGTCCCATGGGCTGGATGATGTAGACACCACTGGGGCTGCCAGAGGGGAGCTCACTGCAGTCCTTGGGCCAACCTGGGGCAGGACAGAAGGTGATTGAACAAGCCTGAGGAACAGCCCACAGTCCTCCTGTGGCTGGTTCTGTAAGACCAAGATATTACTGACCCCTGACTGCCTGATGGGCACAGACCAGGCAAGCCCCATCCTCACCTGAGCACACAACACCTGCGTCCTTGCTGTGCTGGCAGTTGTGCTCTCCCCAAGGCTGCGCTGAGCACTCACTGAGGAGTTTCTCCTCTCCGGTGCAGCTAACGTTGTACAGCCAGATGGTCCCATTTCCTCTCCCAAAATAAGCACTGCCTGGGGCTGATAATGCATTTCCACAGCCAAGCTGCCTACACACCACAGTGGCAGCTTTCAGGTCCCAGGAGTCATCACACACCGTCCCCCAGGCATTGCGGGACCAAACCTCCACCCGTCCTGAGCACTGATCAGAGCCGTTCACCAGCCGGACCTGACCTGGAACAGGGAAAACAACAGTAGGGAGCAGATTGGGAAAGGAATCCAAATTTCTTTGGTGTTGGAAAGAAGGTTGGAGCCCAGACCAGGCTCAAGAAGTGTAGTCCAGGCAGTATGATATGAGGCCTTTACATCTCTGATCATGCTCTTGGCTGGGGAAGGAACTTTCTCTAAGTCCTCATTTCTAACTATTTTTGGTGTATTGTGGCCCCTGACACTGGGCACCGGTTTGCCATGTGTTTCCTCAGCCAAGCCCCCTCTTGAGGGATGCTGAGGCTCTGCCTGGGGGGCACCAGGTTGGGAGATGCACTCCAGGACAGTCTGCTCTGGGGTGGTCCTGGTCACATCCTGCTGGCACTGATGGGGACCCTCTATGTACCTACCATCCACTGACTTCAGAGCAGGCACGGGGATACTGAAGACAGACTGATTGAAGTGGGGTAGGTTTTGGATGGTCCTGGCGACATGTGGGGCAGGCAAGGCCAACACGCAGGCAAGGAGCAGGAGGGGAGAGCACTGGACAGCTGGAGGAGGAAGGGACAAGATAAGAGTCACATAGAGCATCCCATGCAGTGGGGTGAAAGAGCTCCAGTTACCCCAAACCTTCAGGGACACCATGGGGTTTCCTTTCTGACATGAACCTTGTCACCAGACTCTTTTTGTCCCCAAGCTACATGCCAGAGCACAAAATGCCTGGGAAATTTGGGGAGCAAAATCACAAGAGAGTCCTTTATCACAAGAGAGTCCTTTGCAGACCAACAGATACTTGACAAAAATGTTTATCTTTAAGCACAAACTTAATCAGAAACTTTGTGGAATATTTTCTGCCCTTCCAGCTCACTCAACAGCTAGATGGGATTTCTTCAGCCTGTCTGAAAGAAAGAAATCCAAGTTGGACTCAAAAATAATGTTACTCAGTTATAACAATAATTATCCCCAGATTAAATCTGAACATTCATTTAAAGATAGCATCACAGCTGCATTTCTGGGGGTCACAGAGATGTAGGATTGTGAAGCAACTTTCCCAATGATGCCTGTGTTTTGGACACCCCCCAGTGATGGACTCTGACAGCAAGGGGAAGTCTATGCTTTTCATACACCAGTAGATTCAATCTTGCATTTTTAACTCATTTACTCTTAGATTTATGACCCCTCTGCGCTAGAACTTCAGCACAGTGACTCTGCTAGACCTGAATCCTCCTCTCCTCTGTGCCTGTCCCTGCTCTGCTGGCACAGAGGAGCACTCTGAGGAGGTGACTTGCTTGTTCATCTGCTTGACTCATTTGCATGGGGAAAGGCCCCTCTGACCTTCCTCCAGAGGTTTTCCCTCCTGCTCTGGGCACAGCCCTTGTTTTAGCAGCCCAGGTGGGCTCTGTTGGCAGAAACTTGCTCACACTTCACCCACACCCTGAGCCTTGCTGGAGCTCCTGTGATTCACTGGCAGTGATGTGAGGTGTGCCGAGCCCCTGTCCCTCCAGCAGTGACTGGCTGTGCAGGTCTGCACCCCTCGAGTGGGACCCAGGGCTGGTCTGACTCCCTCTGCCCCACATGACCCCTCACGAGTTCTGCCCCAGCACTGCCCAAGGAGCTGCTGGGCTGGGCTAAGGGTGGATCGAGGGATCTGCACTTCCCTCTCAAACCTTTCCCCATGCTCCGGAACAAGCAGCACAGACCTTGAGTCTGCCCCGTGTGACCTCCTGCCTCCGTGGGGAGCACCTTCCATGGGAGCAGAGGGATGGCTCTGCCAGGGAGGAAGATCAATGCCCTGCCTCCACCAGAGCTGCTTCTGGGGATCCACAGGGGCCCCACACTCTCCTGACCCCCATGCTCACACTCACCCATGCCAACTCCACGGGGACACTTGGAAATCCAGAACGTTGCTGTGGGTGTGCTTTGGGTGATGGGATTTATAGCTGTGCTGTGCCAGGGGAGGAGTGAGGCTGGCACAGCTGCTGCTAGCAGCTGTCCCTGAGCAGGATGTTCAACCTGAGCAAACACAGCCCAGGAGTGCCAAAGTATCCCTGCACTTCCCAGGTGTTGAGCATGTCTCTTCCTGGATATGCCACCAACAGGTGCTTGGTGGCATTTTCTGAGCTTCCTCCTGCTACCTCTGCAAGGCACAACCCCAGAGGTGCAGCCCAGCCCATCCGACCACCGAGCAGGGCCCCTCCTCCTGCCATATCCCTGCCAAGGTGGACAGGAGCTGTATGCAGCACCATGGAAGACCCCAAGCAAGTCTCTGCTTTCTTCTGGAGCAAACCTGGATCCTTCTGGATCCTCCTGCATGGATCAGTAGCAGCTACAGGCACAAGGCACCTCCAGCTTTTTGTGTTTGTGCTCATGGCAGGAGCAGAGCTAAAGGGACAGGACCAGCTGAAATGTGGCACTGTTCTGAGTCCTGGGTGAAAGCAGGGATCATTCCAGGGAGCACCTGGGGCTGTCAGGTGTTTCCCCATTTATTCTGCCTGTTACATATTCCAAACCCATTTTTACTTATAACTGCAGAGAAGTGTTGCTGTGACCATTACCTTGGGATGGATGAGATGTTATCCTATTCCCAGCATTTGTTTCATACAGATCCACAAAAATGCCACATGTGAGCCAGAACTGCACCCCTGGGATGGCCATGAAGACACACTGAACCCAGAGCATCCCTACATGATCAGTTGGGGGTCCCTTCCCATGAACACCCCAGACCTGGGACTGTTGGTCACTGCCAGGGTGGACCTGCACTTGCAGACCTCCTGCACCTCCCAAGTGAGGCTGAAGTGTCTCCATGGCCATGTGGAAGTTCTTTGATGCTGATAAAGGCCCTCCCAGCAGCCACAGACTCTCCAGCCCACCCTGGCAAAGACCTGGAGCAGGGGCAGCCCCAGGCAGCTCCCACCACCACGGGGATGTCCCGTGTTGGTGTGGGCTCATTGAACAGCCACTGCATGCTGCCAGCAATCTGTTCTCCACTGGTTTACACTGGTTTAACTAGGTATTTCTCCCACCTCTTCCTTGACTATTTTCCTTGTTGGCCTCTGGAGCACCTGGGGGATGGGAATTGTTTGTCCCAGCTGTGAGGTGTGAGGGAGGGTTTCTTTTCCCAGCAGAAGTTTCAAAGCACAGCCTAAGTAAAGAAAACCCTCATATCTAAGCTGTCATGTCCCTATGCACACACATAAAATTTTACTGTGCTCACTTTTGGTGCCTATTTCCAGCAATATAAAGTAGTATTAAGTTTGTCTAAGCAAATATAATGTATCGGGAAGAGATAACTCACAGATCTAAAATACGGATGGATGAAAGATTGTGGATGTTGTCTAGCTAGACTTAGTAAAGCCTTGGACACCTCTTCCCATAGTATTTTCCTGGAGGAACTGGCTGTTTTCACCAAAAGGTTTGTCAGGCACTGGCACAGGCTGTGCAGGGCAGTGGTGGAGTCCCCATCCCTGCAGAGTCTTAACAGATGTGTGGATGTGCCACTTCGGCATGTTAGTGGTGGCCTTGGCAGTGCTGGAGGAATGGTTTGACTTGGTGATCTTAGAGGGCTTTTCCAACCTAAATGATTCCACGATTCTGTGGTTCTGTATCATCCAGGTATGGACAAGAAAGAAACTCCTGTAATGGCTACTAAACTCCATGTTCAGTGGGCCTCGTGTTTCCATCTCATTGACAGAGGAACCTTTTCCTTCTCTTCTTTGGTTCAATGGTTTCAATGCCTGCAAGTGGAGACATCAAAAGGCACTTTGCTCCTTGCTGATCCCTGGATCAGGAGCCAGAGCCTTTCTGGTGTGTTTGCCTTTGGTTTTGCACAAGTGTTGATGAACCTCCCTCTGACCACCTTTCCTTTTGCTGCTGGGTCAGCTTGCTCTGCCCCTGACACTGCCCGTGCTTGTACAGGAGCTCTAGCTCACTTGCCCTTTCCTTCAAAATTGCCGGGGAATCTGAGGCTCTTCCAGGATTTTAAGCAGAAAAAGGGTGGTCCCTGCCTCCCAGGGATAACACACTATTTGCTTTTATCCAAGCCTATTACAAGGATTTTGCTTTCCCCTTCCCATTTAAGATAGAGCCAGTGGAGTGAGGACCATCCCTGTACTGGTGTAAATCAGACTTGTTGAGGTGACAGACCCTGGTGTGGAGCAGAGTAAGCAGGAAGAGCTGTCTCATTCCCCTGGGAGCATCTGGGTAGCTCTTCTCTCCAGAGCATATCTGCTGCACCTCTGTGAGCCCAAAGGACAGCATGAGACACAGCAGGTGTGGTATAACCACATCACCTACCTGCAACATCCCAATTTCCTCCTAAATCCCGTGACCATTGACTGGGACAGCAGTGAAAAGGAACACAGATGTGCAGAAGCACTGGACCAGCGTGCAAATGTGCTATTGAGAAGGAAATTGCTTCTAAAGGAGGGGGGTGATGGTTAGAAAATGTGGAGCAAGGAACAGAACCCACTGAGAGTCTCCTGGCTGCTGGGGAGGAGCAGCTGCTGTGCAGTGATGCAGCTGCTGCCTCTGGCTGCTGAGGAACTGGACCCGGAGCCACAATGTGGATAGCCACAGTTGGATCAGGGATGAGAAGCAGCTGCTCCTCACCTTCCATCTTCCAAACTGGGACTTTATTCCCATGGATGAACTGATTGCAAAACCAAGAGCACCTTGGTATCTTTGTGCTGTCACTGTGCTGATTTAACACTTGATCTTCCCTGATGGAGTAGCAGAGTCCTTGGTCTGTCCCACAGCAACTCAGCCTGGGGAATGGATGCGATCATCAGGAGCCACCTCACAGGTTGCTGCTGATCTCAGCACCACTTGATGCAGTGCAAGTACCTGAGAGCATGTGCTTGAGGAGCTGACAGTGTGCAGACACAGACACTGTGGACAGGTTTGAGCAGAGGCAAGTCTGAATGTGGCTTTAGAAAGGTGTTGGCACTGGATTGAGAGTGATAAAAGCAGCTCAATGGGGATTTTAACGGAGTAAAATTCAAAATGTTAGCCAAGTTCTCTAATTTTAA